CGTACAGAGGCCAGCCGGTGAATGCAGACACGTATGGTATTATCTTGATGGAACGTTACCTTTCTGCGCCGGAACTCAATTCGACTCTTTTCCTTGATAGCAGCGTCAACATGCACTAGCATCTCGTTGTATCCTTTACTGTCAAGGGTTTTACCTTTTTCCATATACTATTTGTGATTAATACCACGGCAATCCCACCAAATACAAAAGAATGATCTTTTTGTTAGTCAAATTACGCTTTACGATGCTGCCGACGGACTCACGGGCGCAGATCAACTAAATTTTTGGCCTATGTTGTTGAAATAAATTTATTTTTCAACACAAGTGACTATCTGGTCCAGAACTTTAACTTTGCGTTGATATTCGAGAAGAATAGTACAGGCTCGAACACGTCTGACCTTATCTGCTTGAGTCAGCTCATGCGGCGCACAGCTGACGTTTATGTGATGCATAGTGCGACTAATGGAGAGATTCATTTTTATGGATCTCACCAGATCCAAATCATGATCTTTTCGTTAGTCAAATTACGCTTTGCGGCGCTGCCGACAGGCTCACCGGGCGCAGACCAGCTCTTTTTTCGACCTGTATTGTTTGTGTAAACTTGTCTAACTTTGAACGAAAAAAAAAAAAAAAAACTATGTATATAACACGCAAAGATATTACAGAACATAAATTTACTCAATTTTATTGGATTACCAGAGGAGGAAAAAATACTCAGATAACTCTCTTAGAATTCTTAAACGCTAAATTAAGAATAAATTAAAATGTTTACTAATAAATACAAGTATTTTAAATAATAAATTTTTCCAGCTCTACATATACCACGTTTATCGGAGTGTCGCATTTGACTTTACAATTAAGCTCCGAAATTTCCTTGCTGTAGATTGGATGATTACCAATATACTTACAATCCTACTAGTAACCAGGGCCACTATTAGGGATTTTTGCTACTCACTACATTATCTGTGGCTCCTACCACACGCCACCAGTGGCCGAGTGGTTAAGACTACTGAATACTGGAAGTTCGAACTGGTTTGGGTTCGATGCCAGACGAATCAGCTGGTTGCATTGTTTGTTTTCACCGTGTGTAACATGAATACAAGCCAGTTCCCTTCAGCAATTAGGCCCTCCCGCGGTAGAGGAATTAAATCGCTGAACACTGGTAGTTCCGACCTGGATTCGAATCAAGGCTAACGGGCCGGCTGCATGGACGTTTTCATAATTTTCTCCATGTGTAACGTGTATGGGGAGCCAATTTCTCTAAGAAAGTTCAACATGAAGGCATCCTACTGTGCTTTGCCATAATAACCTAATCTAAGCCTTCAGAAAATTCCTCCACGAAGGCCTGCCATCTTAAGAAGGTAACCCTCGTGGCTTTGCTACATTCAAAGAGCCTAACGCAATTCTAACAATCAGTTCCTCCCTAAATTCTAGCAAGCGAGCCGCCGAACACTGGTAGTTCATCCGGAGTTCAAGCCTCGATGAACGAGTTGGATGCATGACCGATTTTGGTGTTTTCCAAATTCACCTGCTTTGGCGTAATCAAACTCTATAATTCTAAACAAACTGACGTTCGGTTCGGCTCTAGCACCACGTTCCAAATTATAATTACAGCTCAACAAATAAATGTCTGGCGTATACATTCGAATAATCTAAGTAAAAAAAAAAAAAAGGGGGGGGCTTTTTAATTTCTTCCACAACCAAGCATGCATGCACATAAAGCGAATAAAGAAAAACTTATGGAGTGCAATAGGCTTCTAATCCATAACATATTTAGTTAGTGATCGCCATCATTGGGAGCTATAAATATGCTATATTGACGGGAAGGAGAAAATTTTACTTCCTGAGTGAGCTAATTCAGAACTAGTGTTATTTCATCTGTCATCTTAAATTTAGGATGCCAAGTTACGTGACTAACAAAAACCTAGTATTTATATGAAGCTTGATAAAAATCAAAGTTTTGAAGACGGTATATGTGATCATGTTCGGTTGATTACCATTATGATCAGCAAATAACAACAGCAATTTACTGATGTCTTTCTTATCTTTATATTCAGATGTAGTTTTCAGGGCAACTAGAGAAAATTTATTAATTACTTTTATTATTTTTGATACTTTATACGTACGAAAACACATACTTGTAGGAAGAGAGATCTAAATATCATATTCGAACAAATAAAAATAAATCGTGACGTGAAGACCCTAGAGATACGGCTTCTGATTGCTTTTCAAATTTTTACCATATTAGTAACGATATAATCGAATAATCTTTCAAAGATTATTGTTTACCGATTTTAGGTAACAACTAGAAAACATTTTTTCGAACTTATCCTCAAACAAGTTTGCTATTGGTAATGAATACTGCTGTATCATGAATCAGGTACGGCGCTATGCATTTTGCTGACTTTGTACGCAATAAATTCTGTTGTCAAGTGCCCTTCCCCCAAAATTCTAAAATTTTATTGCTTGATGCTTCGCTGAATTTTACAATTTTGCTGTACCTAAATTCTGCCGTACCGGCAGTGATCATGATTTCAAATCCCCCTCCCCGAGATTTACTGTGTTATCTGAAAAACAGCTCACAAGTTGCTAAAAATAGCTATAAAACTGGTTCCACAGCTTTTAGCAAGGGTCTCCCGTTGTGCGTTTGGAAACTCAGCTTTTGAAAGAAAAGGAAGGGGAATAATTTCTCCCTGACTACAGTATAGATCAGGTCCGTGACTTTGTTTGAGCTACTGCAAAATGTTCTGAAGTACACTTTTTTCTGTTTCGGCAACATTCATCTTGAGAATTCAACACCTGTTCATTAGCCCTTAGTAATTGACAGAAATGCTTTTAGAAAGTAGTGGGTTCATTGATACCAACAAAATGGTTATCAATGAAAACAAAATGGTTGGTATCAATGAACTGGGATACGTTAGTTTCAGTTGTTGGGTTCAAATGAACCTTTCAAATACTAAAAAAGTCCTTTTGCATAATCGAAAGGAATTTCATCTGAGAATAATTTTTCTACTTAAAAATGAGTTTTGCAGTACTTTTTAAATACTACTTGTATTTTTATTTTCGAAAATTTTCATAAATATTGTAATTAATTATTTCCAATTTTAATAACTCGCAGAAAAAACACAATTTTCAAGAAATTTTTTTATTATGGTTATTCAAACTTATACTAATATACAGCATCTTTTATATTCCTTATACATTTGACACTGCATGCTTCAACCTGCATGTAAGTTTCTCTTCCTTAGTAACTCCTGACCCAGAGACGTCTCAATGAAAGCCAAATCATGCACAAAATTTTCACCTGAAAAAAAAAAAAAAAAAAAAAAAATGATAAAAATATTTTTAACACCATATTCGACAACAGAGTACATCACATACCCCCCCCCCCAAAAAAAAAAAAAAAAATTGCAAGAAATACAAATTTCTAACAGAAAAATGCATTTTCAAACAGCTGAAATTGTTTCACAAATTAATAATGCAGATAGCAAATGTAACATATAGCACTATTGCCACTCAGTGAAATGCCTCTAAATTCTGCTGCTCAGTACCCTCTGCTAAATTACAAAATTCTGCTGTGCACTAGTCTCTAAATTCTAAAAATTTTGACTACCACTGGTTGCACAGGCCCTGATCAAAGCAAAGAGGCAAGATGCTACCTGCTATTGATAAACTGCCTTATAAATACCACAGATCTAAATAAATGTCAGTTTTAAATAAATTAACAATAATAATACACTGGATTATCAGTATATTACTACAAGAAGATGAGTCATCTTCACAACTGCTGCTTCCATGCTCGCAGTGTCATTTGCTCGTGCAATATTAGTCAGTACTTTGTGTGCCGGAGGTTTCACATGAAGAGCCTCTACACCTGAGTATAAAATGTTCGTGTTCCAGTAAACACTGAATTCAGAGGGGCAAGAATAACTCTTTCATGGTGGATACCTCAGTTACCAAATGGCTTTCTAAGGCTCTATTCAAGCCGTTGTATAAATGTCATAATTCCCAACTAACAACGCTTCGTAGTCAGACCTTGCTATGTCACAAAAACTAGTTTGGGCATTAAGCTTGAAGTTTTCAACTTTGTGTCGACTTGATATAAGAGTCGGCCAATCAGAGCATATACATGAAACCTATTGAGAGAGAAAGCTGTAGACACATACATGCATGCACAAATTTAGCTTCTCTAATTGGCTATGGCTTAGACCCTCTCTCGCAGGTGTGAATGGAACTCCCACATTTTATGCCTTATGATTATGTGTCTATGACATTTATACCATCATCTGAACGGAGCCTTAGGATGGCATACTAAGAAGATGCAATGTCTTGTGGGGATAAGCAATTTATACTCCTAAGCCTAAAAAAAAAAAAACTTGGAAAAAAAGATCACATGACTTAAATTTATTTTCTAATTGCTCTAACTTGAGGCACATTACGAGAGGAAAGCAAAGGTAGTAATCAGAATTATTTAAAAAGTTTTATCCTTATATTTTTCTTAAAAATTCTGTAAAATGATAAAATTTTTGGCTTTCCTCAAATAAATATATATGGAAAAAATAATAGCCACATAATCACAGATTTCATTTTGTTATATTTTATTAACAAAATTTAAATTATTAAAAATCTCTTTCATGAAGGGAAAATAAAACATCATGAAAACAATGAAAAAGAAGCAATATTTAAAAAAGATAGTAGGCTTATTGATGAGGCTCCCATCAAAAGAATCGAACCCCAAAATATTTTCATTTGCTTCAGTGTCCCGTCTGAAAATTTCACTGATTGCAATGAATATATTTAAAAAAAAATCTTTTATTTTCAAGTTCTTTCATGCAAAACGTCCAAATTTGGTACAAATCAAATTCATCCCCCCTCTTTTTGATAGCTACAATATTATACTTAACAGTTTTAATAGCTATCAGTATGTAAACAACATAATGTAACACCATAAAAGAAAAACATAAATGATGACATTTTAATTTTGGCATAGAGAAATACATATTTACCTCCAAAAGAGAGAGCTTGTATTTCTACCTTCTACGTCAGAGTCAATAACTGAAATGTCCAGATCAGAACTGAGAAGAAAAGAACCATAATTAGTTTAATTAAGATACAATAACACGCCAACCAAGTATTAATTTAGAAGTCAAGCAACAAAAATCAGCATCATATTTTGAAATATTCACTATTTGAAAATATAACGCTGATTTTGGTTGCTTGACTTCTAAATTAATACATAATTAATTAACCATAATTAAGTAACTATAAGAGTTTCAATATCATGCACAGCTAATATCTATTTTAGAAATAAACCAACTTACCTCAAGAAAGCCTGGTTTGTCTTAGGAACATTAGCTGTAACTTCTGGCGTAGAAAAGTCAAATTTTTCACTTCCAGACCTAAGAATGAAAGAAATAAACTGCTATAACATAATTAAAAAAAAAACATGAATAAATAAATAACACATAACAAATTTAAGCATTAAGCTATGTATGACTACCACCCATCTCAGACAGTGCGACAGATATTGCTGTATACTGTTTCGCCATACCTTGTGTAGCTATTATATCATGCTGTATAACCACAGTTTAGAAAAATTACAAAATGTGTTATTTATATCTATCTAAAATGGTACATTACTACATGATTTGTAAGAATAAATTAGAGAGCTCTGTGAATGAAATTCCTTCCAATTAAAAAATGTAGGAATAAAGAAAATGCAGGAATTGCAAATGCAGAAATGAAAAAGGGATTATATTTTTTTGCACAGAATCCAGATGACATATTTTTCAACATTTTAGAAATTTCAATATTAATTTTAGGGGCCTAAAATATTAGGCCCCTAAAAGCAGAATATAGTTTTTAAATGTTCAGACAATCTTCCTATGAGAAGAATTCCTTTGAGAAGTACACATCTGAACCAAAATTAAAAAACATGTACAAGAACAGAGCTGAGGACTTCTGTTTGCAGAAAGTCTGTCACATAACATATGAAAAGTTTCTTATTGGTAGATTTTTGATCAGACAGATATTTTATTGTTATACAGAGAAAGCATTCACCCCTTTCTACTAGAGATAATTCAATTTGGACAATGGCAAAAAGGCTAAGCAAGCCTGAGCGTATTGGTCCCATTCTTGGCACTAGTATGGTTTACGCTCAAAATACACGGCAGATATTTTCTATTTACCTGCATCCCAATATCAATTCAATTCAGCTTTTGGTGGAATTTACCATTTGTGACATATTTTTCAAAAATTACACTTCACAACATGCATGCATGACAAATACACAGAACCATAAATAAACAAGCAATAATATATATTTATATATAAATTTTACTAAATGATCATAAAATGTTCCAACGCTAAAAGAAAGTTTTAACATCCAAGTAAATGACATAATAAAAAAAAGCAAGTTGAACAGCGAGCACATGAATGAAATGTGCATACACCTGTAAAAATATACCATAGGTAACTGACAAAGCATTTCGTAGCAAACATATGACTATAAAATTTCCAATAATACCATGTAATGATGGTGATTCAATTTAGATCGCAAGAAGAACATGCTCATACTTTTGAAAAGATTCAATTATTTCAGCAATTCCTTGTGAATTGGAATTTACCCTTTCAATATTTCCCAACAATTTAGTGTGAATGGAGGAATAAATTGTTATAAAAGAATTGAACAATTATTAGCATCCCCTCATACACACACACACAACAACACATACAAAAAAAAAAAAAAAAAAAAAAAAAACCTTACTTTGTAAAAAAAAATCATCCGGGCAATGATTCTCCTTTGACACAGATGCAGTTGTATCAATAATTTCTGACCTTCAATAAAAAAAAATACGCATATTTTACTTCGGAATTAACTTACTACGAAATCATAAACGCGAGGTAGTCGATATAAAGAATAAATTATTTCTCACCTTTCGAAAACATCCGCTTGTTCGGAATCTTCCACATCTCGGGAATTTAATTTCATATTTTTTTCTTGAGCTCGACGTTTTCGCTGAATTCTGGATTTTTTCTGTCGTCCTTGATATTTTCGCATATTTTTTTGCTAACTGACCACAGTACAAATAAATGTAAACAAAACGAGTGCGGAATAGCAATGCAATAGGGTTGCCGTAAACGTCATTCCGCTGACAGCTGACACTGTTTAGTGAAAACTGTGTATAAAGGAATATATGAAACGCTTCTAAATATTATTTAGAAAAAAATATGATTTATAACTGATATCAAAATCAATTACTTCGTGAATTTTTGCAGAAATAAGATTACAAAGCTAAATTTTAACTCGTAGCGCCATCTATTGATGGCTTTCCAAACTACACATTAAAATTACGTATTTCAAACTAATTTTTTTTAAATATAATATTTAAGTAAATTTCATTCCAAACCTGATTCTAACATTTTGATTCCAAAATTGACCTATTGCTTTATATTTCTGCCAAATTTCACGCAACATAGTTTCTTAATTAGCGATTCTGCGTGTAAACAAATTTTTAGTATTGTAATTCCGCTGTAGTAGACCACCTTAACACCTCCGTCCGTTTTTTTCCCAGAGAAAGACAGATATGTATTCGGAAGTCATAACCGATTTTTAACGTACAGTTATTTTATTTTTTTAAATTGCCTGCTGAAAAATTTCATTTACATAAAAGAAGTGCAGCAGGCGTTCTATTTAGGGCTCCGGCTAGAATAACTATTTACTTCAGAAATTGGGAAATACCGGAGCCGGGCTCTGGCGCAATTAAGCTCTGTCAAGCTTACATGAAACTTGTCCACGGCATACTTACTCCCTCACATAATCTTTAATCGTACATCCTTATAGTATGTCTTAAAAAAAAAAAAAAAAAAAAAAAAAAAAAAAAAAAAAAAAAACCAATTAGATAGTATATAAACGGAACTAATTTTCGACACAATTTACATGATTTCAGCAATCAGTATCATATAAAAATAGAAATTAACCTTCCAATAAAAATTTAAAAAACAATTACCATCAGCATACATACTTTAAGTTTCTTGCGTTAAAAGAAAATTGTTGAAAATTATTATATGTTTCTAATTTTCGCAAGTGAGTATAACATTAAATATACCACCAGATTTTGAAATTCTTCTAACTTATTTTTCTATATTGTTCGGTAAGGGATCAAGTACCTTCTAGTAATCAAATAATTCCACATTTTCCTTTGTAGACACTGATATGAAGAAATTACATGGCTTATTATTTCAAAAAGCAGGCATATACATTTAAATAGTGATCTGTCAGATTTAAGTCAAGTTTTATACATGTACAGTCGATATTTTTATTGATTATGGACTTAAAAGTTTCTTTCACAAAGTTTTGAACGAAGGTTTTAAAAATAATAAACGAGTAGAAAACAAATATATGATGACACTAAAGCATGAAGGCAAGAAAAAGTGGAAGCTTGGTATTTATCATGGAAAATAGGAGGTTTAAACAACGCTGAAAATTATACAGCAAACTAAATTAAAGAAATACGCCATGTTATTAAAACTGGGGAATTTAATATTATAATTAAGATACACAATATAAAAAGTTGTACCTTATTAAAAGTGTGTTTAAGATATATTATGAAAATCAGTAAAGTGAAATACAATCGCATACAAGAATTACAGAATGATAAACTTCTTGCATCTGCTTTTCCATCTTTGAAAAATAAAATTAATTTTTACTGATATATGAACTCAAACTTTATTTTAGCATTCGATGCATGAATTAATCCACGTTATTCAACTGGCAAAGTAAATATTACTACGAATATTGTTTACAATGATTACATGTCTTACCGAAGTTTAATCTTTACGTTTGCTTAAGAATCCTGTGTCTTGGATTTTTTAGACACTACCATATATTCCAATATTTTTGCACACATTTCATTTTTGCATAATGTTTTCCATTCATCACTGTAGACAACTTCCTCTGCATGAGCAGAAAAAAATTCCAAAACACTTTGGTATAAATAATCATCGGAATGCATATCAGCTAACTGGAGAATTTTGCAAACATTTCCCACAGTAATACTGGATTTGAGAAAGGACGAGCACACATTTTTGAGAGCAGAAACATCATACTTATTCGCTACTGCATAAGTTGTATAACTGTTCCTTCAGATAATTTTTCCACTTTTCCAGTATATAGAAAATGAAACATTTCATGCATAACATCAGGATCCACGTCTGAAATCTCGACCAGGTTGTTTCGCGATTCTGCCATTTCGGTTTCGAACATTCTGGAAAATACGGAAGACTGGGAACACAGAATAAATTTATGCACGGAAAATATTCTCGAATCCGCTACTACAGTAACGTCAGATAATGTTCCATTTTCATAAAGATTTCGAAGACTTCTGTTTACGTTACTATCTCCGTTCGAAGTTGCAAAGAAGCAAGAAGATTCCACAATCTTAGAAGAAACACTGCTGTTAGATAGTTTAAATTCGCACATGAATAGCATTATCTCCTCTGGATCTGTAGAAATGCTCCGCGAAAACTCAGCACATTTCCAATTTTCATCCTTTTCAAACAAATGTTGATTTTCAGAAGAATTAGCAACATCGAAAGATACTTTGGTTTTTACAAAAACGGGTTCGAACTTAGAATCAGGTATTTTGCAAATGAAAATATCAAAGATCTGATCAGTCTGTGTTTTTTCACAGATGTGTACTCTTAAACTCCATTCCAGGATATCCGTTTTAAATTGGCGATCCAAATGCGTGTTAACAGGCAGGCTGGAGAAATTTGCTATTGGCCACAAAAGAGTAATTTTCTCTGTATGAATGTGACTTTCATACGTTTTTATACTACCAGGTGTAGAACCGAGAATGAGGAGTCCTTATTTTGCTGCAGTGGCATAGACCTCCTCGAAGTTGAACACATATCCGCTGAAATTTAATTTTCCAGTGTAAACATAATTGATCATGGCTTCCAGAACGTTCGATCCGATATCAAAATCCTGTTCGGAAGTTTTTTGGCCAGGTTAGGCCACCTCGCCCACAACATAGCTTTATGCACTCTGAATTCTGCACCACGTCCACGCAAGACCACATCCGTGAACAATCCAGTTTTGTAAGAAAGTAAAGAATGTATCTCTTTTTTATTAGTCTGAGAAAATGGTTTTAACATACATTTTATAATTAGTGTGTCGTAAATAATATATTTTAAAAGCAAATTTCTTTTAATAAAACGGGAAAAGCCATATGACCGAAGCAAATCAGGTTTTCCTTTTTGAAATATATAATTTAGGCTAGAACTTGAGAGAATTTCCCTTTGATTGTCATCCAGGAACTGAAAGCTGAAACTTAGCTTGCAGTCTTCTGGAGAATCATCGTTTCTGAATAGAAAGATACCTATGTCATCTTCACATGATGTACCTTGAGGATATAAGTAAAGGCACCATTTCTTGCCAGGTAAAGAGTCGACGACAAAGAAAGGGCTGCAAATATATTGCTCTTTAGTCTGATGGCACATGCTGAAATTTTTAATAATCCACACAAATGTAAAATCGCAGTCGATTTCTTTCTCCATTGCACAAACGTTATTTCCTTCCTAGCTATCCTATCTGCTCATCTATTGCTAAAGTAAACATTCGCATTTGAGTAATTTCTATGACCTACACTCCCTTCCGCTCAGCGAATGCTTTCATCGGCTATTGTGAAGGCTAAGGCTGAATCCCCCAACTTTTCCCTCTTGGCGAGTAAGGGAAAGCGCTGCCAATTTTGGCGCGTTTATCGCACACACTGGCTGAATATCTGCTGTTCTTTTTTTAAGATTGATTTTATAGACGCGCGTCATTCAGCGCATATAAACTTTTCGGATAATTTATTAGTTCTCAAATAGTATATAGACGTTTCCACTTAAATAAAAATTTCGCGTATATTTTGTAAAACATATTCAAAATAGCTTATGCTTCAGATGTTTCAGTTTAGTTAGCAGAGTAAAATAAATAAATATGAATAAAAACTTTCAATAGTGTCAAATGGTTAAATAGTTAAAATGTAGAATGTGAAAATAAATTTATCTTAATGACATTTTAACAAAAATTTCAATAAAACACTGTAAATTCATACTCAAAAAATAACTTTAGAATATGTTATCAGTTAAGTCTGAGATATATGAAAATAATTGCGCAAGACTCTGAAGAAACATTTTCCTTTAAATGTGTGAAATATTTCATAACATATATGGAATAAGAAAGTACAGCATTCTGAGTTTTGGATGCTTTTCTCCAAATGTAATATAAATACGAACTAGAAAGCGTAATAAAAAGTCCTTCCCCTCCAATCAGATCACCTTTGTGTTGCATTGTATTTGTAATACTTCTAAAAATCCAATTTTTACCTAAATTAAAAAACAGTTATTGCATAAAAGATAATAAATTTGAACATATAAGAATGAATTTTGTAATTTGAGTTACGTTACAAATAATTCATAGTTTATATATTTTATATTAATAATTGAAATGAATTACATGTGGTTAAATTGTCCTTTTACAATTTAGGAATGTGTCTTGACCACATTCTTAAATTGTAAAAGGACAATTTAACCACATGTAATTCATTTCAAAGCATAAAAGAAAGCTTATTTTTTATTTTACACAGCAACAGCAGTTTCATGCAGTCAAGTTTTTTTAATTGCTAGTTGTTATACATAATACTTAATTTGAAAAACATTTTTATTAGAGAGCATAACTAAGAAACCTCTCACACAGTGATTACAAAGAATGTTGTTAAATTTACAAAAGTATTGAACATATATTGAACAGCATTGTAGCAAGAAAGTCCTGTACAAAATATATAAATTTAGTGTAACTTATTTTTTAGTATTTGCACATAGTTTCCTCCAAATGAACCTTAATGGGAAGTTATTTTGCGAAAATTTAAAAGTAAAAGTAATAAAATGGCCTCTAATTAAGATGTAACTGCATTTATAATTATTTTGTAATTATGAATATTATTGCAATTATATTGTGCATTTACAACATAATTGCATAAAGTAATGACTTAAGAGTTCACAGATAGAATGTAATATAATTAAAATGAAATTACCTAAGTTGTAATTATAATCACTTATTTAATACCACAATATTATTATAATTACAATGTAATTTAAATTGGGTACTACAATTGCATACCCTCCATTCAAAAGGAGGTACTGATAAGCCTGGAAGTTATTATCAACAAAAAGCCTGTTCAGAACAGTTTGATGACAATTTCCACTGGGCAGAAAGTACATTCTTAAGCCCAAGCAAATCAGGACAATAAAAATCATTTAGTCTCACGATTCATTATATTTTGTATATATTTATTTATCCATGTAAGTCACATATCCTAAATTTGAATTCTGCACAAAATTATTTACCTATATTTTAAAATACTTTATGAATTATTAGAAGAGATATGGCAAATATCTTCTAAAAATAACTGTCAAATATTTGTATCCATTAATTGATTCAGATACACACTTTTATTATTTAAGTATATCAAAATAACAGTTTCATGTTCCTGAAATACAAAAATTATGGAAAAAGTTAAAGTAATATTCTTAGAAGCATATGATATTACTCATCAGATGCAAAATTATAGTTAATTTTTTGCCATAAGTACAAGTTTATTACACAGTAGTAAAATGTGTAACTTAACAACATGTTATATAAAAAATTAATGATAATAAGTTTAACAGAAGTGTGCAAATAACTTTCTGCACCTGAAAATTACTTGAAACTTTTCTACACCTGAGGGGAGGATTGGATTGGATTATTTAATTATGGCAAAGCACACGAGGGCTATCTGCCTAAAGGGAGGGATGCCTTCATGGAGGGCTTTCTAAGGGAAACTGGCTCGTATACACGTTACACATGGGGAAAACCACGAAAACGCCCATGCAGCCCAACGACTTCTTATAACAGGTAGACTGCTCACCCACAGAGAATTCGTCTGCTAGGATGTCTCCAACATATACCACGTGACTAATGCTCTTGGCGCTCTTGGGGAGTGATAGCTTAGACTGTTCATCGCCAGTTTGGCCCGCTTTTGATATGGCAAGTAGTGCTTTTTATTTCCGTCTCCTAGCAGTCAGCAGACAACGACCTCGAATTAGGTTGTTCGATTTTTTACAATTATATTTAGATATAACTTAACCCCTTTTTTCCTGAATATTTTATCTATATTTTTAATAATCGCTTTAAATTATTTGCACCATTGTTTAAGATGTTTAGGTTAAATAATTTTAGGAAGAAAATCTAAAATAAATAATAAAAAATGAGATGGAAACTTTAATTTGAATAACGTTAAAAAATTAATTGCACTACTGTTATAATATTTGAGAAGGTAAAAAAATCTCGTTTAATTTTAATGCATTGCATCCTAAAGAGACAAAGAAAATCACATTGTATTACATGTATTTATGCCATTGATGAAATATATACTTACAGACTGTTGACTTTCAGCTGGAACTATAAACTATTACTGTCCAAACTTAATATAGTTTATGATACAAAAAGATAAATTATACTGAATTAATTAATTAAAATTATGTTTACTTAAATATATGAAAGTAAAATATTAAAGAAAAATATTTTACTTTCATATATTTAAGTAAACATAATTTTAATTAATTTAAAGTCAGAAATAGTTTTTGGAAGAATTTCATTTACTTTTGACCTCTCGGTGTTAGCAATAGTACTTGCATTATGGAAATGTAGGATAGTAAAGAATTTTTTATTTTTAAAAAGATCTTTATTAAGTAATTGATTATGCCCATTTTATTCAGTTACTTGCATATTAAAGTGCTTATAAATTCAGCAATGTCCAGAAAATAATTTCATGCAAACTTGGAAGCTACTGCCTGCCTTAACTGTACATTAAATTTAGTAAGATTTCATATTTTGCAGATCAGCTGTAAAATGTACATTTTCAAAATAAAATTTTCTTTCTGAATTATAAATTCAAACATGACAATACATATTCTATTTTATTCCTGTATCCCAATTAAATAAACACATTATGAAAATGTGCATTTAAATATAGTATTTACTATAAAGTAAGTGGCTTAATTACAAATAAACACTCAAAAATTAAGTAAAACAAAAATATACTACTTATCATGAACACTAATCTTTTAAACGTGAGCAGAACGCACGTTTTGAATAAAAAGTTTTCGCTCTTCACCAGCTGCAAAGGATCCAACTTGCATCTGATGAAGAAATAAAGCTTTTCGATTGAAAAGCATGTCCTGCTCATATTTTAAAAGTTTGGTGTTCATACAAAGTAGTATATTTTTATTTTAAGTGGATTAATGCTTTATTTTATTTATTAAAATTATTTATTCTAAAGTATATCAAGAACAAGTACTAAAAATCACCTACTCAAAATGGTAGTCAAGTATATTCCAAATTTCTTATTTTTGATATGTGAATAAGTAATGAGCTTTTTAAAACAAAAACACACAATTTGGCCAAAATATAGAAACTAGTTATTGTTATATACTACATGAATAACTTTATGAAATACAATAATGCAATATAATATGAAATAATAACCTCTTTTTTCCTGAATATTTTATCTATATTTTTAATAATCGCTTTAAATTATTTGCACCGTTGTTTGTTGCACCCTATATATGGCTCTGATATGAAAAATTTGACTTATCAAACTTTTTTTTATTTATTATTATTATTTTTGGAGATGGTATAAATTTTTAAAAAATTAGCTTGTCGAACCATTGAAATCTTTATAGATATATAAAGAATGTGATATTTACTTTTAAAAAATGAATACATAAAACAATGTAAATAAAATACAAACTACAAATTAAAAATACATGCTTTTATTTTTAAAAATACAGGACTTGAATAAAACTTAAAATATTATTGTCCCTTAAAAAGTGTAATTTTTGTGTTAACACTACGTACGTTTTTGTTCTGAAGTTTTTCTGTTTCAACTTTACCTGCATAGTACAGTCGTATTTTCAGGTATTCAAACAGAATGGCTTTTATCAAAGAACTTCTATGGTTATCTAAAGGCTCATGATTTAAAATATGTTCATGCATGCCTAAAAATATATTTGGAGAGTTTTCTATTATACATTTAACACTATCTGAAATTAATGAAGCCATAATGTTTTTTTTTTTAAGTTTTCCAGAAGCTTGGGTGGTTCGAAAAGATTTCTCAGCTGCTCTACATATCTTCACAACACTACCAGATGGAACTATTAATCCTCCCCTATTTTTTCTACCTAATAATTTACTTTGTGTATAATCAACTGTTAAACCAACATCAGACAGAGAATATATACAAGTATCACATTTTAATGCATTTTTCAATTTTTTAACAACACTACCAGCAATGTATGCAACAACATCACTAACAAAGTCTGAGAATTGTTTACAGCTTGTTAATGCAAAAGAATGATCTTCAGTAACACAATTCTCAGAAAAATTAAAATCACCTTTAAAGGTATCTGTGGAGTTGAAATTGATTGACTTCAAGTACATATTAGTGGAACTGCTCACATTTAAAATATTTGTATCGTCTAAAATGCAATTTGCTTTAAATTGTTTTGCAGTAGGGTTGTTGTTGTGACCACCTTTTGTGCGTATGGCACTGAAAAATAACTCAGAGTGGTCCTGTGATAATTTGTATGTCAGGAAAAAGTTTAATGGGTGAGGTGAAATTTCACACAGCTCAATATATAACGATTTAATACTATTGATGCAAACTAAAAATCCTAAAAATCCTGTTTTCCTGTTGCTATGCAATATGTATTCTCCAATTTTACTTGTTCTTAAGTTTTTTATGTATTCTTGTGCTGTATTTAAGAAATTTAATATAGTATCTTTATTTTGGGGCTTAATTGGAGATTTAAAATCTTTACTTAATAGGTTTTTGCTGTTTAAGATGTCAAAAAGGCTATTGAATATTTTTAAAAATTTTATGGTTGGAGCACAGCCAATGAATGTGGGGTGTTTTTAAATCGTTTTCTAAATATAAAAGAGCATCAGCAACACTATTACTGAGAACCTGGGCTGCAAGTTTAACCTTCATTTTTTCACGATACCATTCTATGTGCCGTGCCCGTAACTTTGTTGCAGCATGAAGGCCTTGCTCCTTTTGAAATTTTTCTAAATTGATTATATGCTCCCACAAAATGAAGCCACTGTCACCATCAACAATGGATCCTTTTGATGCCAAGCAATTTCTAACAAGCTTCAACATATGGCAAGGATCCATTATGACATACACATTGTCTCCGGTGGCAGGGTGTGGAAAATAATTGATTAAATTATTGCTTTGTAAATTTGCACCTAATGCATTTGCAGTTGCAATATTGCTACTGCAACCATCAAATGTCAAACTTATAATTCTAATGCCAGTCTCTTGAAGATAATGAAGGGCCTCATTAATAAGATTGGCTCTTTCTAGAGCATTTAACCCATTTATCAAAAAATACGAAACTGGAACCTTCCAGCTTCCATTAATGGCATTCACCATGAAAACTAAAGCCTCTTTTGCATGAGGCAGCTCATCATCATCTATGTCAGTACCTAAGTCAACATATCCAGTAAAACGAGTTCTATCCCATTCAATATGTTGTCGTATTGCCATTTCATCGACAATAAGAGCTCCATAAATGGTTTTGTTTATCTTTAAAGCTTCTTCTGCTTTAAGTTTCAATGATTGTAGGGCTTCCTTCGTAAATCCAGGAGAACCACTAACTTTTACCATACCACCCACCTTCTTAAAGTAGAAGGATGGGGAAGACTGTCGTTGAACATTTGTCTGACATAATTATATGCTTTTGCCGAATAAAAATTTAAAGTCATGGCAAATGTTCGGAGGTCTTCTGAATATTCAGCTCTTGAATTACTACATTCAAGTCTTTCTATGAAGTCCCCTGCAGCTCCAGACAACTAGAGGAAGGGAGCAAAAAAATTAAGATTTTAATATAATATTAAACATAAAAATTTTAAATATAATATAATAAAACATAGATGAGTTTTAGCAATAACTTATAACATTTTTATGTAATGGTCACCTCAAAAATATTTAAAAAAACCTACAGATGCAATATTTTCATGACACTAATGGAAATACAACCTGTGACATTGCATCCTGCATGTCATTTCCTTAATCAAAGAATTACTTGATTAGACATATATTTCTGATTATTACATTTTGAAAATTCTCAGCAAGTATTCATTATATCTTAGGGTGCATGATAAGGGGCCATCCAAAAATGATGTCACGCTCTGATGGGGGAGGGGGTTTGTGCAATTGTCACAAGGGGGGGAAGAAGAGTAATAAAAAGTGTGACATCACACACATTTTGGTTAAAAAAACACAGCATTTAAAATCAGCTGATTAAATTTTGAAATTACAAAAATTGAGGGTATTTCTTTCTATTGGGGCTAAAACAACTTTCCTGGGATTAATAAAAATTCTACTGATTCTTACTAAATGATTTAGATCAGCATTTCCCAGCTTTAAATCAGAAGTGAAAGTATATGTTTATGTAATAGCCTGACATTTGGCAAGGGAAGGAGGATAAAAAATTTTATGAAAATGTGCAACATCATTTATGAATTACCCCTAAATTAAGTTATAGTTAAAAACCAAAACTATAGTTAAAAGCACAATTTCTCTGGGAAATGATGGATAAAATAATTGTAAGAGAGATACAAAACTGGATATTGTAAAAATTTGTTAAGCTTACCCCTAAAATTGTTGACGCTGAATCAGATATTAAATTCTGAGTTTTTAACTCAGTCAGCAGCTCGTCTAAAGAGGCCACACGCTTCTTCAGTCTTTTGTTCTGTTTATCTAACAATTTAATTTTTCTTTTCATGCTGATATTTTGCTGCTGAGCTATTTCAAGAACTTTTTTTGCTTTACTTGGAGATGTAACATCCTCATCATTAAAATCTCCCAAGTAATGCAGCCGTTTCCTTCTTTCAGGAGTTACAGATGTACTTGCTGAACCTACAACAGATTTCAAGACGAAATATTAAATATAAGTGTTATATTAATAATAATTATTATTATTTATAAATCATACTCATATGGAGCTTAATAACGCATTTCAGTAATTTTATGGCTAATAATTTGATTTGGTGTGGAGGAAAAGGATTATTTTATTTGTGTAATGTCTTTCTGAGAGGAAACAGAATTAAAAGTTATGAAACATGAATATTTATAGCAAGCAAGGAGATTTTGAGGGTAATTTGCCATCTTAAATTAGTAAAAAATAAATAATGGGTTTTTTCTTCACAAGCTTTCAATATTGAAACAGAATAAAAGTTATGAAACATGAATTTTATAGCAAGCAAGGAGATTTTGAGGGTAATTTGCCATCTTAAATTAGTAAAAAATAAATAATGGGTTTTTCTTCACAAGCTTTCAATACCTTGCAAAATATTAGAGTTCAGGCAAGATGTTGTAGATATAAACTAAATTAGTTTTAAAAGTTCCCATAATCTCAGATTACTTTATCGTGTAATAGTTCAAGTGTTTTAGTTGCTTTAATTAGCAATTGCATAAAATTTTCAAGCTAAGTTCATTAAATTTAATTTACAAATGAAACTGAAACATAAACATAAATAAAAAAGTAGGCTAAAAGTAAATTACAAGCATTCTGGAAATTCTAAACTGAATATAAGTCTAGAATGCAACAAAATTCACCTACTTACAAAACTATTTTTCTCTCTAAAAATGCTATTTAACATATTGAAACCAATACAATTAATAGAATTCAAAGAAAAAAATTACTACATCACAGCATGTTATGTTAGACTTAATCAAAGTACAATTTCTTCCTCGACTCTCTCTCACATACATAAATAAGTATGTTAAGTACATGATACTGAAATTGAAAATAGAGCATCACACTTACTTTCTGAATAGTGCATAGACTCTTCTGGATTGGGCTGAAGTGGCTTTTTTTTTGACGACTTTCGCTTGTAAAATTTTTTTTGTAAGTGAGAAGGGAAATTAAATAACGTTGGAATTGCTGTGGCCTTTAACCAGGTGCCTCCAAACTTTGTTCTATCGAAGCAGTCTGATGTAAAATGTTTCGAACATAACTTTGAATACTTGGTTACTCTAAAGTTTTCCCGCCGCAGTTGTACTTCCCATTGTTTTTGCCTTTCTGGATCTTTAGGGAAACTATAAATGAAAAAAAAAAAAAAAAAAAAACTTAATTGTACTAAAGTAGCAAATGAAGTATTAAATTACACACATATATGTATTCCAGGTCATACAGGTATACTGCAGAAGAATGGTAATTTTTCAGAATCATTTAAGAATTCTTTAAGTACATGCTGAAAAATATCATGAAATTTTAAAAGTGTAGTAAATTTTTCATTGGAAAGAAATGTAAATATACCTACAATTAGAGTCAAAACAATAATATATATAATAATGTATATATTGTCTGTATATGGGGATGGCATTTTTCCCTTTAGCCTTTTATTACATGAGAATTCTTATTTCGTGATTCTGTATTGGAATGGAAATCAAAGGGTCCTTTTGGACCACCTTAAAGTTCTCTTAAAATTATTTTACAATAGTACGTACATTCAAAAACACAATTTGTAATACATCAAATTACAGGTCAAAAGGTGCCTTCTAGAGAAAAGAGGGTCAAGTGAAATTTAAAAGAAAATGAGTCACTTTCAAATTAGATTGTTAATGATGGGAAAAATTTGTGCTCAAGGCAATGTTGAAAAAAGTTAGTTTGATTTTGTCATCAACAATTCTTTCTTAATAAAAATCTATTAACAAAATTATATTTCACTGCATGCAGGTTCAACTTCTAAAATGAGCACCACCTCTCTTTTCTTGAGATTATATTACTGAAACATAATAATGCACTCTCTTTTCTTGAGATTATATTACTGGAACAAAATAATGCAATCTTAATTACTGATTTCCACACTCATGTGTATGTCATGGGGGGATGAATACATCTTATTAACTATAACAAATATTTTATATTGAATATGTATCAAACGGTAACAAACTTCAACTCAGTATTTATTATTAGGATCAAAACGATATTACAGTTAAAAATTCTCTCACTCTCCTTTTTTTTTAAAAAATACTATTTAAAATATGGTAAGTTTTTTACATCACATTTTTTCAATTACATTAAATTTCTAACAGCATCGTAGATGAGACAGAATTATAATCCAGATTATTTTTATTTTAATTGATTTTATAGAAAATAATGATACAGCATTGAGCTCTATAAAAGTAATCTGATTTTTAAAATAATGCTGTTTAACTGTTTATGTTCAATGTTGCATGAATCAAGATCTTCAGCTTTTTTTTTTTTTTTTAACAAAGTAAACATATCGCACAATCTTTTCTCAATAATTTAATGCTAATAACAGCATTTTTCTTTTTTTATCGCAAGCAGTAATTGTTTATGAAATCAAAACGCGTACGACTTGGCGAAAAAAAGTTAACGCCAATTGGCGCAGCTTTCTATTTCAACGGAATACACGGAAAAAACATATAAAATTCAATTATTTGTAAAGGATGAATCCAGTAAATAGTGTCACAGTATTTAATACATTTTGATGCTAATAATACATGCTGAAAATGTCATATACAGCGGCAATTTTCTTGTACAATATGGCTGAAAATTTCCAACCAATTCAACAGAGATAGTAAAACGACAGAAATACTGAAAATAAAATAATAAATCATGCAGTTTTAACTTACCTATGAAAGGTTACAGGTCCTCCTTTCACGAAACTTTCTTTACATCCATAGGCGCTGCAGCGAATAACCATTTTTACTTAAATTTTATGTGACCAAGCAGAGCAGCAGTCTTTCGTCCCATAGAAAGCAATGTAAAGTATTTCCGGACTTTCGGAATTCGCGCAGCAGTCACGTGACACTAATGTTGGAACCGGTTGAAGGTTGCAATAAGCTCTCTACCAGTATATATCTCGTTGATGCAGCAGCCCGTCCGCGGATTCGAACCTCGACGAACTACCGTTCAGCGTTTTACCGCTCGGGGGGGAGTCTTAAAATTAATTTTTAACTCAGTGACCAACACTTCTATAGATATGCATCACTAAGAATAAAAATCCGCTTAAAAAAAGATGACAATCAGTTTTTTTCCCCTTGTTACCCTTTACATTGAGAAATACAAACAGTACAGCGCTGAAAAATATTATCCTTGAAATTTTGTTAAAATGAGGGAACACACACCATCTTTTTATTTAAGCATTACACTTCAAAGAACAGATACACATACCAATTTATTTTCACTACCCTTTATACTGAGAAATAACATGCCATATAAAAATGAAAAACATTATCCTTGAAATTTAGATAAAATGAAGTGATACATACCATTTTTTATTCATGCATTACTAAAATGAATAAAACCATTATGCTTCAAAAACAGGATACACATAATATACAGGATACACATTCTGACACATATTCATGAAGGTTCACTAAAACAGCACAATCATCCAGTACTTCAAATAAAGCAATATGTAGTAATAACAAAATGGGAAAACTTATGCGCGCTGGACATCTTTTTTCCTATTGCATGTTGTCTGACATGATCCACAAGTGCCGAAAAATGTACCTAAAGAAACACATTTCAATATTAACATAAAAATTGTTTACTCATTAAAATTGTTTACTGATTAAAATTCCTTCATTTCATACCAGTATTATAAAGATCATGCACGAAACAAATCTACTTTCCCATACTTTTAAGTAAAACTTAACTGAAATTTTATACTGGAAAATATGCTGTATTTCTATATATTACAAACAAGAAAATAATACCAAGCCTAGGAAAAAGTAATACATATTACATAATACGCAGAAATTATTTAATAAAAAACACACATACCTTCTAAAATTATTTTATTTATTTCAAGGCAGTCGATTTGTTTCTTATTGGCTGATACTGATGATTATGAAACGTTATGAGCTCTTTTGTTGATAAGATGCTTGCGTCTGGTAACAAAAAAATTATCAATAATTACTTTCTTAATTTATTTGATTGTTATGCATGCATTAAACACTACACATGCATTAAAAACACAATTATTTTTGAAAAATACACATGCAGATTTTCACAAGTTTTCTGTGCTTATCTGAATGTTCTGCATTCATTTCGAAATCTTTACTCCATTGCCAAATTGTATAATAATACTGGGGATTATAAATATATGATACTTGCACAATCCTTGCAATTATTCAAATCAAATTATATATATTTTGTCTCATACTATGCAATTTATTCTATCAACTTCAGATGTCAGTGTCAAAATTCTGGAAGTTATTTTAACCAAGAAACGGTAGTGGGCACCGTGCATAAACAACACATCTAACTTTTCAACAACAGTGATTATAAAATAAGGAAAAAAATTATATATCATTCCAACGATATTGCAACTCATTATGTTACATATATCTTTAGCAAACATTCAGATTTTAACTCGGGTTTCCAAATTATTATTCTCAAATTATTACTCATTGTTTAATAAATTTCAATATACTAATGATTTTCATGTTACATTAGTATAAATTCCCCAATTGGCACAGGAAAACAAAATCTGCGCTTTAAATTAGAAGAGGGTGGGTTATTCAATTATGGCAAAGCACACGAGGGCTATCTGCCTAAAGGGAGGGATGCGTTCGTGGAGAACTTTCTAAGGGAAACTGGCTCTTATACACGTTACACATGGGGAAAAACCACGAAAACGCCCATTCAGCCAGCCCGTTCGCGGGATTCGAACCTCGGACCGAACTACCAGTGTTCAGCGTCTTTACCGCTCGGCCGCTGGTGGGCTTAAATTAGAAGAGAAATTTCTTTTCCATATTCAAAACATCCACATTGGCGATGTTTGGCGACGGGTACATTAACCCTAGACTAATTTAATTATAGCTATTATGACAGAAATTAGCAGATACTTAGGTTATTGCACACAAGAATTTCACTTTACTTGCACATTATAAACATCGGAGAAGATATAAACTCTAAATGAAGGCGTAAATAATATTATGTTTATTAAGCAAAGTTGAGCGCTTGGACTAGGTTTCCAATTGTCTCTTCGGCAATTCTTTACCCATATTTTGCTTCTTTCTTCCTTTTTAGAAAATGTTACCAATATATGACCTTTCCGTGAATGATTTGAGCAATTAATAGCTGCACATCCGCCCATTTTACACAAAAAAGCACAAGAAATTGTTGTACCGCTAACTATGCAGCCGCCATTAATACTCCCACTTGGCATCCCGAATGTCTGATAATTCAGCCTGGTATATAGGAGCTTAGTGAAGGCCGGTTATTCCCAGGGATAAATAGTCTTTTAAGTCCTGGGTTATTCCAAGGAAATCAGCCTATGCGGTCAAGTTCTAAATTTACAACCCCTTTTTTTAACGAGGGGAGCTGAAAAGGAGGGATAATCTTGCTCGGGATCTGGAGAAAATGTGGAGGTCGTTTAAACATTTAACTTCTCTACATTCAGTTTTATACAGAGGAAAATACAAATTGAATTCTTCGAATGAATGCAATTTTGTACGATGAAAATGCATTATTGAACGATAAACAGTAAGGGATATAACATCTTTTTTTAAAGCCATGGGAGTAGAAAGACAGATATTTGTTATATCAATGTGTATGTATGTATGTGTGTGTGTGTATTTAATTATGGCAAAGCATACTAGGGCTATCTGCCTCAGGGGAGGGATGCCTTCGTGGAGGACTTTCTAAGGCAAACTAGCTCGTATACGTGTTACACATGGGGAAAACCACGAAAACGCCCATGCAGCCAGCCCGTTCGCGGGATTCGAACCTCGGACCGAACTACCAGTGTTCAGCGACTTTACCGCTCAGCCGCTAGTGAGCCACACACACACATCCGCACATATACATTAAATCATATTTACATATCGTT